TATATATATATATATATATAGTTAGAGTGTGAATTGAAAGAAAAAAGGCGCGTAGTATCAGACAACTATAAAAGTATAAATTTGGTGACACACGTGCTCCCATATAATGTTATTTATTGAATTTATCTGACAGAGCAAACATAAGTTAATAAAATATTTTTCGTTCATATAGAGCTATAAGTTAGAAATTATCACTGATGCTATTTTTAAAATATGTGAAAAACTGAATCACTTATAGTTAAAATTCAAAACAATGACTAACGCTTAACCAATCAGAAAATTCCATTTTGTTTTCCGGTTATCTCTATTTAATTAACGAATTAATATTTGAAAAAACTGTATTAATATCAAGTATGTGAAAAACTGAATCACTTATAGTTAAAATTCAAAACAATGACTAACCCTTAACCAATCAGAAAATTCCATTTTGTTTTCCGGTCATCCCTATTTAATTAAGAAGTTAATATTTGAAAACAATGTGCAAGTGTCATTCACTACAAGTTCAAAGAAATGTGTTTGAATCTGATTGGATGAATAAAAAATATTTTATTAACGATAGAAAATTTGAACAAGATATAGGTAGAGTGTGAATTAATAGTAGGAATTAAGTAACAGAGATGAGAAAAGAAGCTGCAAGTCAATTTACTTGGACAGGTTCAATTGAAAAGAAGAAATGTTTATATAAGACTGAAAAGCGTAATTGGATCTTATCTTTAAAAAAAATCAAATGGATATTAGAACAATAGATCTAAAATAATTATGTTAGTAATAAAGGGGGATGTAAATAAAACATTCTAAAGTTTTATTTTCTTAGAACACATCAAATGTAATGACCATTTTTAAAATGACAACTCTATCTAAAAATCAAACATAAATGGAGTCACGGGACCCGTTTTTGTTAACTCAGCAGAAATAATTCAGTAAAATAATGGTACAGAGTGGAAAAAATCCTGTGTAAGCATTAAAATATTTGGTTTTTGCTCAACAATAATTTTAAAACTTTTTATTGGAAAAGCTGTGTTGTATATTGCTACTAACGCAATTTTCACAACCAAACAAATTAAATTTATTTTTAATTAACTGTTCGTTTAATTGTAGTAAAATAAGAGGCAACGAATGCTGGAATATAACAATTTAGATGTACGAGTATATGATATATTAAAAGAAAGTATTACGCGGGCATCATTTCTAAAATACTAATTTATATTTATTTATATTTACTAAAGACAAATTATAAATTAATTTGAGTGTTTTAAATGTTTTATTTCAGTAATTAAAATTACTTAAAATCACAGAATATTGGAATTGAGCGAAATACAATTTTATGTGTTATATCAATGTTCAAATGTTAGTAAATGTCTATAATGCAGTAAAAGTTACTCTTAGTGTAAAAACTAAGTATTATATACACAAAAATACGAGGATTCTTCTAAATGACTTTAAAGCTTCATCGCTTTTCTTATTAAACTGTTCAAATTAGTAATATAACAAAAAATTCATATAAAATACCAGGTAATATAAAATTGTAATATATAAATACCCAGGAAATATAAATTAAACTTCTATTGAAAAAAATTAACTTAAGTAATCATGCAACAGCTCATTGAGGATCAAGGGGGATACGGAAGCTTAGGATTCATAATTTTATTACCAATGGCATGATCATATTAATGGGATCCCCATTTGCACCACCGTTGTAATCAGCTTTGTGCACCATTAAGCACCAAACTCTTGATATTTGAAAAAATCAATTAAAAGAAATAAGATATGTGTTTGTTTGGTAAGAATCCAAATATTATAAGAAAAATATTCAAAATTCCAAATATATTTTTTTCCAGAGGTACTCGATACCGTATTTTTCACAAATCACAATGGCATTTAATTTAGTATGAAATATTATGAAATAAAAACCCCTACATTCAAATAAATCCATCGTTTACTATCCAGGCTGAAAAAATTCCTGATCAAATTACAGTAATAAGTTAGGGGGCATGAATGCATCATCCGTAAAATCAATTTTATCTTAAAATTCATTTATATACCCCAAAATCGCTTTTTACCATAAAATATTATACCGTTTTTTAACAGTAATTACTTAATTAAAGTAATTCACTGATTTATAGCGAATAATTACTGCAAAATTTACGGTACATCAGATTTTTTGTTCCGGTAAAATGGATATTATGGTAAAAAGTACCATCACTCCGAGTGCCGACACTTTTACCGTAATTTGAATTGGAATTTTTTACAGTGTGGTCATGTGATATTATTCTCTTATTTTTAAACGATTTTTTCTTACTTTTTTGATGTTATTTTAAACAATATGTTATATAAAAGGATGTTATATAAAACGATGTTATATAAAACGATGTTATATAAAAGGATCTTGGCTATTTGTAAGATAATTAGTTAGGATATTAATTAAAAGATATTTACTTTAATTTTTACGCCCTTATCAAAAACGAATATTCTCTACATTAATATATATATATTAAAAGTATTTTTTTTTACAAATCAGAGATAGCAAATTTGAAAATTAAGGTAATAATTACTATAAAAATTGTGGTGTATCAGATTTTTTGTTCCAGTAAAAATGGAATTTACGGAAAACTAATTTTTTTACCGTAATCTAATCAGGAATTCTTTTATAGTGTGGTAATTTAAAAAATGAAAATGTTTAATAATAATAATAAAGTGAAAAATGTTTAATAATAATTAATAATATTAATAAAAGAGAACACACCATTGCTGGAGCCAATCCCTGATGAATGTCCCTTTCCCTTGGATGAAGATCCACTGCTTTTAGGCTTTCTTTTTCTTGTCTGAATAGAATCCTTTCTCATTGAGATGGGCCGATTCACCTAATTAGTGGAACATTTTATTACTTTATTAATATATCTTTTCAAAGTTTTAAGGTTTTATATTAAAGCTAGAAACTATTGATTAAATGAAACAATCTTAAGCAAACAATTATTATTTAAATATTAGTGTTTAATTTTAGGGAATTTACAATACCATGGAAATTATTTAAATTATTAATTTTCACTAGCTTTTTTTTAAATTTAATCGTTTTTGAATCCATGTTTATTTAACTTCTGAAATAGAAAAAAAAGAAAATGTTTGAAACAATTGAAAAATTGATATAAAAAATTAATTATTAATAACTTAAATCTACTGCTTAAAAAATTTCAGAACCAAATTTATTTAGTAACGTTTCATGCTTAAATAAAAAGATAATTAATATCAATTTAACGAAATATTTGTAATGGTTTGTTGATCATTTAATGAAAGTCTTTCTGTTTAGCATGTTTAGTTGTGTTTATATTCAGTTATATAAGAACTAATATTATTAGTAATATGTACTATATATTTAAAAATACTATATATGCATGTGTAAATATGAACATGCTTAGCTTTGCAAGTATGAGTGTGATATATTGGTGTCTAAGTTCTTTTCTCGTGAATATGTTAATGTTTGGCAATGTTCATGTTTATGTAAGTACATACTGAATTGACATTAATTTAATGAAATATTTGTAATGGTTTGTTGGTTTATAAACATTCAATGAAAATCTTTTTGTTTAGCATGTTTAGCTATGTTTATATTTAGTTATATAAGAGCACGTGTGCTATATATTTACGAATAATCTATATGTATGTGTAAATATAAACATGATTAGCTACAGATGTATGAGTGTGATATATTAGTATCTAGTTTTTTCTCATGGATATGTTAATGTTTACTATTTTTATGTTTAATTATATAAATATGTATTTGCTATATATTTGTGAGTGATATATATGGGGGAATATTAACATGTTTAGCCATATATGTGTATGAGTGTGATATATTGATGTATAGTTCTTTCATATGATGATTTTGCACAGTATCAATATTTCGTGCATACGTATTTGTTAAAAGAAATGTCTAACTCTACTGCAATAATAAGTATAAAATATGATTTTATAATTATAATATGCAACTGGTGACTCGACAAAATTGAACGTAATGTAGTTTTCAATTAATCAGAATGAATTACATGTAATTTTCAATTATAAAAAAAACATACCCTCTAATAGTAATATTTCACATTTATGCGTATCATATGAAAAATGTATAGATATTGTGTAATAAAGATATATTATACCATTACAGTAAGAATCTATCTTTAAATGATGTGGTTAAAACACTTTTTTTATTTATCATACTATTAATCTGCCTAAGAAGTAAAATGCTCGTAACATTATTTTCTACAAATCAGTTACCAGCACTTCTGATTACCGTCATGAAATAATGAAGTACGTTGTAAGCATTTATTTTTACTTATCATCCCATTTTAAATTTTTTGTGAAATTTCTTATTTTCATTGTAAATAATTGTTTTCACAAATACTTAATGCATTAGCAACTTAAACTTAATACCAGTCATTTAATACATAAGATTTCTTAAATAAACATCCATAACAAGAAATGGCAGTTTTTAGAATTGAATTTCAATTCATGTGTGTTTAAAAAAAGTGTTTTGTAATTGTAATGATATTTTACTTAATATTATTCTAATAAAACAAGTTTATAATTTTGAATTATTACTTTTTTTCAATAGCAGAAAATATAATTATATAAATGTTTGCGATCAATGATTTTGTCTAATCATTGAAATTCTATTTATAATACAATTTTTACAGTGCAATTAAAAATTACATAAATAAAATGGAGAAAAATACTGAAATCGAGACTTTCGCAATATCTTTATTTTATTTTGTTTTATTTATTTTTTTACTAACTTTGAAACATCGTTTTTTATTCTAAGAAAATAAGCCACGTTAAGAATTTTTTTGGATTTTAAACTTATGGGAGCTTTCAAGCTGTTCAATATTTCAAACATTATTTAAATGTGTTTATTACAGTAAAAGAAAAGACAGAGATTTCTTCACCTTATTAAGACTTTGGCAGTTAGGACTTAAACTTAGTAAGACGGTTACTCAGCTTAGAAAAAAAAACAGCTTTGAGCTACATTAAAAAAAAAACCTCTTTGTTTCTGATATTTTACAGCTTAATTACATGAACAAAATCAAACGGACATTTTTGGCCCGTTACATTAAAAAAAACTCTTTGTTGCTGATATTTTACAGTCTAATTACATAAACAAAAGTATCAGTTTTATGGTTCAACTTAGACTGAATTTTTCTGATAGTTTATACTTAGCGTGAATATTCGTAAAGCAACACTGTAGGAAATTCTGGATCAAATTACGGTATAATGTACTGGCACTTTAGGGGAATCATCCGTAAAATCCATTCTATCGTTGAACCCATTTTTACCGTTCAAAGTAATACCTTAATTCTTACAGTAATATTTATTTCATAGAATGATTCAATGATTTTTTAATAATTATTAATTTAAAAATTGCGGTACATCAGACTTTTTGTCCCGTAATATGCTCCTGTAAAAATTAATTTTACGGTAGAAATTACCGGTGCCGGTACTTTTTATCGGAATTAGATCCAGAATTTTGTTAAAGTTCATAGACTTTTATTTTAAACAAACTGTTTTTATATTAATTATTATTTTCGTTTTTGCTGTTCTGTTTTTGTTGCTGTAGTAATTTTCATTAAATCTTGAAGATCATTGAAAGATATTTAACTTAGTATTTTAAGTTTATAAGAAAATATTGTATAAATACTTTATAAAAATAAATAGATTAAGAATTTTTCAATATCTAACGAGCATTTAAAGTGACAACTTTTTAATATGAATGTGCATAAAAATAATAATTTTAAAAAAATTAGGTTGTTAACAAAAATGTTCATTTCAAAAATAATGTAAATTTGGACACGATTTAATCAATTAATAAACTGATAATTTTAGAAAGCAGGGGACATTTAATGAGTTTTTCTAATTATTCTTTGCCATCATAGAACAAGTGACATTATAAATTATATAAATGCTCCAATTACAATTAATGCTTCTATAAAGGTCCTTCTAGAATTTTTTGAGATTTATAACATTTAAACAATTTTTAGTGATGCTTATTAAATGACTAACTATCTCATAATATTCAGGTATAACTTGAAAATAACATAAAATGTTTATTAATTAGTAGAATCTTTGCAAACTTTCTTATGTTCAGAAGAGTAATTTTGGCTTACTTCCTAACACAAATAATGTATGGAAAAGTACAATATGCATTAGGTTTTATACAAAATGGTATGGGAAAAAACACTTAATTTTCCGGTTTTAAACAGTGTAAAATGCTTTATACAAGACACTTAAGTCTTGTAAAATCTAAAAATGATCTATAATCATTAAATATTTAAAATCCTTTTAAGATTTTTCCTAAAAAAATGAGCATATGAAATCAATAGTATACATACTACATTTTATAAGCAAAGATAAGTGTAACAATAAGTTTTTATAGTTTAATGTGTCTTAAAGTAATTTAATTTTTATTTTCCTTTTTTAAAAATTTTTGCTAGCTGCCTAAAAAAACTCATTTAAAATTTTAAATTATCGCATGATCTTTTTTCAAGAGAGCTTAAAATTACAGAGTAAGCGGCCCAGCATCTTTTAAATATGAAAAAAAATATTTCACGATAACTTCTATCCACATAGTAAATATGCGACTATTTGATGTAAAATTAAAGTGGCATTAATAGAAATATAGTACAAAGAGAGGGAATTACACAGCACTGACCATTAGTTAAAGTAAGTGAAGGAAAATTGAGTGAAAAAGTAAATAAGTTAAAAAGTAATTGAGTGAAAAAAATATTAGAATTTGAAAAAACTAACAAACAATGATAAAAGCTATGCTTTTGAAATTATTATTATGCTGAATATTAATGAATAATAATAGCATAGTGTAACCTGCGTAAGTTGACCACTTGTGGACCATTTATGCAATATTTCAGTAGTCAGCATACATTGTTGATCCACTTATGGAGGAGAGGGGGGTGGATAATTTTTTTAATAATTTCATATATAATGTTGCTGTAGTATAAATCCTTTTTCCCCAATATGATAGCCTAACTTTTTCTAAATCTTGCAAAGAAGCATATTTTTCATGTTTTTCATCATGATCATGTTTTTTATCAATTAAAGTAGCTAGATAATTACATTAGTAAAAGTAATTAAATTTTTAACATGACTTTAAAAATCTTATTTAGCAAATACATCATGCACTTTTAGAATGGAAATTAACTGCAGAAGGAATAACAATTTGCTACATAATTGCTAAAATGACTAAGATAAAAAAACGAACATACATAATTTTTAGTGATGCTTGCCAGTTATTAATTGTAAATAGTATCTCAAAATATCAATACACAATAACGTATTCCCAATTTATAAATTTAAAAATATATTTATTTCAGCAATTGTAAATTTATTTTATTATCTTCAAAAATATGTTGGTCATAAAAGTCCTTTAATAGTTATTCAAAATAGTCAACTCAGAAAGGACTTTAAGCTAGTTTTAAATGCTATTTCACCAATTCAAAAAAACATATATATATATATATATATATANATAATATAATATAATATAATATAATATAATATAATATAATATAATATAATATAATATAATATAATATAATATAATATAATATAATATAATATAATATAATATAATATAATATAATATAATATAATATAATATAATATAATATAATATAATATAATATAATATAATATAATATAATATAATATAATATAATATAATATAATATAATATAATATAATATAATATAATATAATATAATATAATATAATATAATATAATATAATATAATATAATATAATATAATATAATATAATATAATATAATATAATATAATATAATATAATATAATATAATATAATATAATATAATATAATATAATATAATATAATATAATATAATATAATATAATATAATATAATATAATATAATATAATATAATATAATATAATATAATATAATATAATATAATATAATATAATATAATATAATATAATATAATATAATATAATATAATATAATATAATATAATATAATATAATATAATATAATATAATATAATATAATATAATATAATATAATATAATATAATATAATATAATATAATATAATATAATATAATATAATATAATATAATATAATATAATATAATATAATATAATATAATATAATATAATATAATATAATATAATATAATATAATATAATATCAAGGTGCTAAATTTTTATTCGCCAGCTCGCCATTGGAGACCAAATATTTAGTGTTTGCGAATAAATTTTGTCTTGTAAAATATTATGCTACCAACTATCCTATTTTCTCCAGAGTTTATCATGGACAAATACTAAAAATGGCGAGCTTTTCAGACTTTAGGAGGGAGATTAATAAAAATATGATCTAAAATATGGATCATAAAAGGACTATGCCATCAGATGTGATGACATCTGCGAATTTTTTTTTCAGCCCCTTTTTGGTTTTCATTTCAAAAAAAAAAAAAAAATGCTAGTAATAATTCTGGTATTTGAATTTATATAAAAGACAAAAAGAAACTATTCATGTAATTAAATCCAAATTTCCTTAATAAACAAGTGGATATGTTATCAGAGGGGTCAAAATTCAAATTAATACTCTAATCTAGATCAGTTTTTCAATAACATGGACTCATATGCAGAAGAATTCAAAGAGTGATGAGTGTTTAACGAGTTTCCTAAATTTGCTCCAAATTTTAACATTTCGTACTAGTCTACAGCTTTAGTTTCAATTTTTATGGTTTTCACTGCCAAAGAGTTTGTTAACCATTTACCTGCCGAACTCCTTTTTCATAATGATGAGAGAAGAGCCTTGCGGGAAAAGTTGTAGCACATTTGCGTTTTATATAATCTGTTATTTTATTCACTGAACTAAAAATTTGGCTTAGAACCTGACAATGAAATAATTTCTGTTCTGAATCAACCATATAAAATTAAACTCAGTGGTTCGACAGTTCAGGGTGGGGCCAAGGCCAACTGTTCCCATCCCAATTTTCTTGACCTTGGACTCTAGGGTGCTGGAGCAGATATTTCGATTGAGTGGTCAGCCGAACGCAGAATCCACAGTGTTTAGTTCCCAAGTATGTTTGAGGAAATGCCAAGTCAACCCTGCCTGGCAAGGGGATAGAACCCCGGATCTGCGACACAAAAGTGCTATACACTCAGCCGCCGGGCGTATCAAATTTACATTTTAATACATTATGGTGGATACGAAAGTCTTACTCTTTCAAGATCAGACTCTCCAATATTTGGAGCTGTTACGAATTGTCATTTTCAGCTGCAGTGAACTAAAGCTGAATTTTTAAAAATTTTATTAGAAATTAAGTATTTATCTGTCTGACCTTTGATGTATCTATTTAAATTATTTGTATTTAGTGGTAGATAAAATTCCTTCAATTCTTGTTTAATAAAATTATAACACATCGCTCTAACATCTTTTTTTACCACAAGGAAAATATTTTCTGAAACTTTGGTAATTTCATAGCAATTTAGAGAGTCTGTAAGATTGATACTAACAATGAAATAAAAAATTTACCAGTTATTATTTTTTTTAAAAGGGAACAAAAGAGAATACTGGCGTTTAATTGGTTAAACTACATTAGATAAAATTTTAAAAAATTTTCGCATTTTTTGTGAAAATAGTTTCGAGCAAATGTTTTAGTCTAGCAAGTAACTTCATACCCATCTTCATACTTCATCTGAAATTTCATACCCAGATGTTATATAACAATATTACAATGTTACTTTTTATATAATATTTAAATATTTACGAAGATGATAGAAGGGAAAGTGTAGATAGCTGGAATAATTAATAATTATGTTATTTATTAGTCAAAATTTTTCTAAAGACTTAGGCAGATTCGTCAAAATGTTTAATAATCCTTAAGCTACATTTAGTTAATTTTAAGAATTGTTTTGCATTTTAAGACTTTTTATTTTAAGAATTAAGAACTATTCTGCAAAATTAATTGCTTTCTTACCTCTTTTATTTAATGTCGATTGTGAATTAATCAAACTTAAATTTTTGCTTACTGTTTCTATTTAAAGTCGATTGCGTATGCTTCGAACTTAATTGTTTACTTACTGTTTTTATTTAAAGTCGATGGCAAACGCAGCGAATTTAAAGACGAAAACAGACCTGTAATTGATTTTGAAATTGAACTAACATGCGCTGCTATCTTGGTTTCACAAGTAAAGGTGCGTTATCAGGAATACTTGCACTATGGTCAAGGAAAAATACCAGTTGTTGCTCTGTCTTTATTTCTCCGAAATATGTTTTAGGTATTATTATTTCTTTTTAAACTCTCATTTCAAGATGTCAGAATGCTTACTTCTTTATTTGCAGAACATAACAAAAAAACCCGTCCTCACCGTTCATAATAGATAAGGCAAAGAGCGAACATTTTTATTTTAAAGTGGATTTAAGATAAGGCACTCTTTGTATGTAATGTTGAAATACACCTAGTTAAAGCCAACAAATTTAGGAAGAGTTTTAGAGATAAGACATCTGGAAAATGGTTTTCAGGTACACAATGTTGACATTTCTTTTTCTTCATTTCATTGAAGATGTGAAATGTTGCGTGTATGAAGGTTATAAAAATGAGTTTTTTACTTTTTCATTTTGGATATGTAAACATTTTATGACTAACAAAAAAAAATTTTAAAGGTGCATTTTTATTTAAAAAAAAGTTATTCATCTCAGAATTATTTTTATTGAGGATACAAGTAACAAAATAAAATTCAGACCATATATAAATAAAATAAATGAAACACCACGTGGCATGTAATATTTTTTCCAGCTTTACAAAGACAATGCGATTCTAGTTTTCTTTCTTTTTTTTTAAATAAAACCAATGTAATTAGTTATTTATAAAGTTCAATTTAAATATAATAGATAAAAAATTAAACTCTTATGTTGAAATCGAAACCCTGTAGCAAAAATTAATCTCGCCTAGTTTAATTACTTTTGGCATTGATATATTTTAATAAATCTTTAACATCTAATAATTTGAGAGACAAAGCCACGAAAAAGTTAACTAAACTGATATCTCTGATTTCTGAAAATAATGGAAAGATAAAGGTCGAAAGATATTGCAACAATTTCTTTAAATAATATTAATGGTGCCATGGGGGCCTCCCAATGAGGAAATCGGGTTCGAAATACAGCGATGGCTGGTCGATTCAAATCCGCACCCGTCTCGCACCGACCACAGTGTTGACGTAAAATATCCTTACTGGTGGATGGATTCTGGGTTAATCTCCTTGCCATAAGGCAAATCACGGGAGGTTTTCGTAGCTCACCCTTAAAAAAATGTTTGGCAATTGAACTTGCCAAAAACTTATATTTGAAGATAGATAATAATCAGGTTGAATATCAATTGGACAATGAAGTTAAATCGCAATTTTATTTATATGTTATTAACATAAAATACTACTTTTATGTTAAAAACCATAAAATAATTTCTGAAAAGCTAGAGCAAATATAGGAAATAATCGTAAAATAATTTGAAAAAAGATGACAGTAAGCAAAACTGTATGGCAAAAAGTAGAATTAGAATTGACAGTTTTAATCTGTTTATGATTTGAGTGGAAAATAAGGAAAAACTGTTTTGTTAAAAACAGCTTCAAACTGTCAAAGATACGGAGAAAGTCTGTAAAAAAACGGGAGTTTTTTGCAATGCATGGTTAACGATTACAAAGATCTGTATTTATATTTAAATAGTTTTTTTTCCTGTGAAAAGTATGTTTTTTCCTATGTAATTTACAGTTATTTTTTACAGTGTGCTGGTACTTCATACCGTAATTTTTTACAATATCGTAAAGATCAGTGCAATTTAACTAATTACAGTTAATTAAAAAATTGGAGAGCAACTTATTAGGCAGTGCACTATAAATACGCGAAAGAAAATGCCATTAAAATCAAAAAATTTTACTCATTCAAAAATACTATAAATGGGGAAAATAAACCATTTATTTCAATAATTATAATTAATTTTCTAATTCTCTGCATTTAGTCTGGCTCATAAGAAGCTAAAAAAATTTATGTTTTTATCCTCAATGCTTCGTATTGATTTAGAATAAAGACATAAGAATGGTTGTTACTTTACGTTACATCCTTTGGGATAATACACAATAATGAATTATGTCTTACCAGCCTTCTTTGAGGCCTTATAGCACTAGCCCTAGAGGTAATTCCATTTTTGCAGATCCCACAAGCATTACACACATACTGTCCAGTACTGTCTCTTCTCCAAGGAGTACTGTCGGTGGTGCCACACATCGCACACTGATGTTGTATTGCTTCACTGATTCTACCATATTCTGGTGGTGGATCACCTAATTAATAGTAGACGAATATAATTTCAGACGCACAATCCATCAATATCAGGATGGAAATAAAGTTAGCAAGGTTTAGAGCTGGGAAGCACATTAAATTTATTACGAGGTCATGACATTACAAGGCGATCTCGAAGCTGTGTTAGCCTATTGCCTAGGAACGGTAAAGAAAAAATTATTTCTTCAAGAAGTGTTGAATTATATAGTGCTAAACTAAATTGAAGCATTTCATTTCTGAATTTTTTTTTTTAATATCAATTGGAAATTCATACATTTTTTCAATGCCAATTGGAAATTCATGATTTTTTTTAATGCCAATTTGAAATACAAACCGTTTTTTTTCCAGAATCGTTATCTCATGCTAAAAATATTTCTCACACAAGTACCTTTTTTTAAAATTAAAATTGTTTGTGTCTTGGTACCTCCGGGTGTTATTTCCGAGAATGGGGGATAGGCAAAATACCGGGTTATTCTCTAATCACTGCCTTTAGTATATAATCTTAAAAACTTTGCAAAACATCAACTAAATATCATTAAGCATTAGATAATGGATATTAAAACAAAGATAAAAGAAAAATGGCATCGAAATCAGACGATTCACCTTTGAGGAAGACGGAATTTAAACCACTGCATCCGAGGAAGCAGAAAAGAGTGGATAGACGATTACTTAAAACATTTTTAAATTTATCCGACAATCAAACAGGTTTTGATATTTCTAATCCTTCCTTTCTCTAAAATATCCCGTCAGATTTCGATAAAATTTTCCGTTTTCTCCCTCTTTAATATTCATTGTTCCCTCGTTAATATTCATTCAACGTGTGTATTTTTTAACTTAATTTTGATAAGAATATGTTTGTCAAGGTTAAAGATTACGGAACACTCTATGTATATCGAAATAATTAAATTTGTGAGATGATAAGTATGTAACTTCTCTCTAAAATTTGGTGTAAATTGAAAAAGCAAGAAGTAAAAAACTGCCATTTATTTAATACATTTAATTTTAATTAATGAAATTCATTTCAATGGGTAAAGTATAAGTTATTAATAAACGAATTTGAATAATATTTTCACTCATCCAGGGAATAGTATAAAAAAGTTTTCGACTATATTTTAGCCAAATATTTAAACATTTCAAAGAAAAAATATTTCATAATATTATTCGTATTAAATGATTAAAATAAAATCCAGTACAAAAATATTTAGGATTTATTTATTTTTATTTAAATGGGAGCTAATAAAAATCCGTGTTGCATTTTAAAAAGCGTTAAGCATAAAACAAAATGTATCACTGTTTTCTCCTCCATCAATTTAAGTAAATTTTTGTAAAAATAAATTCGAGGACAAAATAAAAGACAGAGTTCAAAGTATTTTCACTAAATTGCAGAAATGTTTTTTTCTTCTTTTTTTATAACGATAATTCATAACAAACTAGCAATCAGAATCTTTTTTTTAAAGTAAGCCCTCAAGCTATCTGTCTAAAATAGATAAACAAAAATAAATAAAAATATTTACCTTTTTTACAATAAAAAGAGATAGGCTTTCCTCACAATGACTGCTTACAAACATTCTTTAAATCTCTGTTATTTGATTTCGAATGCAATTTTAAGAAAAAAAATCAAAAAAATAATTTTTTGAAGTTTTGTTGGGGGAAGAAACTAGACTTAATTATCAATTAATATTAAACAATAGGATTTTTTTTACCACAAATCATAAATTTATTAGAAATGTTCTTGAAAAAAAAACACAAAGAAAATCAGAGAACTTATTTTACAATAGTGGAGTTAATAAATACGTACATTTTATAAAAGTGTACGTCTGATTGTGATAAATTCATTTTTACTGTATTCCAGTGGATTCTGCTATAGCGTAAACGTTGTAATTTCATTATAAAATTGAGATATTGCTTATGAGATTCTGCTTTAGAATTAAAGCTTATGCGCATGTATTTCTTTCTAAGATAAGAACATCTTTCGTTTGAATACTTATTTGTATCATTTGTACTGACAGTTGAAGGCTAAATTAATTTTACTACAATCAGTATTATCAACTTACTTAGGTATTCTTCATACCTTTAATACAAAAAGATTTACTTTGAATTAAATTACTTTTAACAGTATTACCAATTTAGTTTAGAATGTTTATTACTTCTTATTACTTTCTCTGTCATTTTTAATGTTACCATTTGTACTAACGACTTAGTATTAAATAAGTGTTGCTATTAGTATTACTATTTGTGGCTTATATTATAATTCTTATGACTGCTACAATTTGTACTACTTCTACCTGTATTACCAGCTTTCTTTGGAATTCCTTTTCCTACCATTTGTATTCATGGTTTAACGTTGAATTAGTATTGCTAATGCCAGTATTACTAGCGTATTTAATTTTTATTTCTATATTCTTTAATTTTTATTTCTATTATTCTTCCCTTTAAATTAATGACTTAATGCTGAATTCATGCAACATTTGCTAGAATTATCATCTTGTTTTACACTTTTAATCACTATATTTTTTGTGCTACATTGTACAAAAATACCATATTAAATTTAAAGTAAAAAGTAAGGGTGTCGGTACTTTTTACCGTAAAATTTTTACAGTGTAACAGCTTACTGTTGAATTCTCACTATTATTCTGTACTAACAGCTTACTGCTGAATTTTTACTATTGTTTAGTATGAACAGCTTACTGTTGAGCTTTTAGTATTATTCGGTACTAACAACTTACTGTTAAATTCTTACTATTATTTAGTACTAGCAGTTTACTACTGAATTCTTACTATTGTTTGGTAACTAAGAGCCTACTGATGAATTCTTATTATTATTTGGTACTAACAGCTTACTGTTGAATTCTTACTGTTATTTGGTACTAGCAGCTTACTATTTAATTTTTATTTTCATTTGGCAGTAACGTCCAACTGTTAAATTCTTACTATTATTCAGTACTAAAAGCATACTTTTGAATTTTTACTACTATTTGGTACTAACGGCTTACTATATTGAGATCTTCTGCCATCTTGTAGGTACGAAGACGTAGTCATAGAAGGTAAAGTCGACCAAGCATTCTCTGCTGACGTCAGTAAGTAAGGTGAGCTTACGTAACTGCTATAACTGCCCCTTCCATTAGCGCTCACTTCATTATTCTCTAAAATGGGGCTTCCCAAGCCAGAATAAGTGCCTGCGTTGTTATTGTTAAGAGCGCCCCACATGGGAAGAGTGCTAGCATAGTTCACCTCTTGTGAAGGATGTTGAAAAATTGGGCTGTATACAACACTTTGAGGAGATATAGCTCTGGGATTATCACTTTCATAAGCTGTAATAAAAAAAAATATTTGATCGAAATTTTGTAAAGAATATTAGTAAAATTAACATTGTTGACAAAGCAATGTTAATTTTACTAATCTTTTTTACTAACATCATTAACAGTATATTATAAGACATTATTAAAAGCAATAAAATTATCATATCTCAAACTTGATGAAATGTGTGGCAATACCTAAAGTTTAGTAACCATTAATTAAGTGGAATCAAGTGATTTGTCTCTCCCATGGTAAAACTTCAATGTAGTTCGCTTCTTCAAAAAAAAAAAAAAAAAAAAAAAAAAAGGCTTTTTTATTAAATTTTTTTAAATAAAAGTATAAAAGTTGTAAAATTTTGTATCGAAAAAGAAAAATCAAGATCTAAAAATGAAAAAAAAGGTAAATAACCAGCCTAACTAAAGGAACATTAGAAAAAGAGTTGTAAAATTGATTCAATAGTATCACAGAATTAAAATAAACTAATTTAATGGGCATTACAGACACTGACTATTAACTTAGTCGAAATATCAACAAATCAAAATTTTAAAAACCATCTCTTCTGTTAAAATGTACGAAAAAATAACAATTAAAAACTAAATAAAAATTCTTTGAAAATTGATTGTGTATTATCTGTGAAAATATTATTTTAAAAGGGGTTTAGAAACTGACTATAAATGTAAACAAGTGTTAAGAATTCGAAAAAAAACAATTCGGGTTACATAAAAAGGAAAACAAAAAAAAAATATTCAAAAACAATTTAATAAGTTACCCAAAAATGACGTCTATTTTTACATTCAACTTTTTTTTAAATTGTACTTTATTTTAAATTTATATATAGGACAAGTTAAATATGCTCAAATAAATCACAATTTTTTTCAAAAAGGAATCTTGAATTCCAGTGAAATACTCGATGTAAATTATGGAAAGCGTCTGTGTTTTCTACGATTTATCTGAGAAAACTTAGTCACAATAATAGTTTTATTTTTATTAAAAATAAACTGAGTTGTTAAAAGGTGTGTGCTGTGCGGTATTTTCTTTAGCATTCATTTATAAAAAATTGTTAATAGGATGTAGTATTGTCAGCAATTTTCAAATTTTGTTATTTACAAGTAGAGGAAAACTTAAGCAATTTTCTACGGGTTTTATTTACAAAGCAGGAAAAACCTGAGCAATTTTCTACTAGTTTTATTTACAAAGCAGTTTTCTAATGGTTCACAAAGCAGGAAATACTTAAGCCAGTTAACAGTATTTATGAACATTTTGTAATTTAGAACCATGCCTAAGCTTAAATAATGAAATCCTCGTTCTTTAAATACCATCAGCAATTAAATTGATCAATCAATAGAGCTTCTTTAATTATTAAAAAACCATGTTAACCATTTATCCATCGTTTCCATTGAGTATTTCACATTTTATTAGTTCCTATTTGTTGTATGTTATTGTGCATTTGGTGTTTAATGTATTATTAATTCTTTCTTATTAATTATTTTACCAATAAAACAGAAATAATTAGAGCAAATAAAACAAAACTTAGTCAAATGTGAAAAGAATTTACAATTTTACAGCATTATTTAACCAATTATGATGTTAACACTGCATTTTTATTTTTATTTGTATTCATCAATCAAAAAAAATTAGTTTGAGTGTTATTATCAGGGCTCGGACGTTGATGATTCATGTATTTCTTTATATTTTTTTATATAATTTTTTATGAATTTTGAATGATATTTTTTATTTTAAAAGTATTTTGATTACCAATTAAGTTCTTCTTTATTATTTATTATAAGCTATGCACTGAATCTTGTTATTTTAAATAACTTCCAATTACAAGTTTTGATGTTGAACAGGTATTTTCAAAATGCTTTTAGAAATAAGGCATTCTCTCAATTTTAAGAATTTAAAAAAAAATTTAATAATACAGTGCATTTATCATGCCCTTAAATCTTTTATTCTAAAAATTATGTTCGTGTTCGAAAAATTACTAAATTCTTATTATTTATTTATATTTTATTTTTTCATAAATTACACATTTATTTTTATTGTTTTCTCATTTTTTTAAAACTTAATTATGAATATAAGATTAACAATCGTTCGTGACGAAAAGTAATATTAAGTCTGCTTCGAAACATTTTCAGGGCACTATTTCTCATTTTTACGTCATTTTGATGATTTTAAGAGGTTTTTATTTGCATTTTTAAGGTTTTTTTTTAAAAGAAATTTTAGGTCATCAACTTCCTATGCCTTGTTATTACTATCAATTCGATGATAGTCTTGTTAATAAAACAAATATTACTTAATTGTCTGATCACTGCGAAAAATTCCAACATCATTCATAAAATCCATTATTACAGCAAAATATTATACCGTAATTTTTACAGTAATATTTATTTAATTATAGTGATTTAGTGATTGTACTATAATTATTACTGTAAAAATTACTTCATATCACATTTTCTGTTCCGTAACATGGATTTTACGGTACAGGCACCCCGAGTAACAGTACTTTTTACCATGATTTGATGCTGAATTTTTTACAGTGAGCATGTTCATTTTATTGATCATTGATTTTTATTCAATTTCTGTTTAACTTTGTCTTGTTTGGTAAGGGAGAGAAAAAAAATAAATAAGATTTCTTACCATGGACCATTTGTACATTTTCGTAACAGGAAGCACTTTTCAAATAACTATAGGGAGATGTTGATCCACCAGGAGTAGATGAAGTCGGTGTCGGACTATAACTTCCAACATAACTGACGCCATACTGTCCCATAAAGCCATTATTGTCTCCTAGAGTTTGATATACTAATTGTTCTCCAGCTTGTGTGTGATCAGGACTTAGAGTTTTGAGACCTCGAATGACTGTCATTGGCTCCCCCGATGACTCCACGGCAGCTGAATAGGCAATTTGGATAGCATCGGCCGTGTGATGTACGATGGGACTGCCGGCAGGTGATCTTGATCCCCGCCGGCCCGATGTCGGGGAAGCATCTTCTGTAGAATCGCAGTGTTGTGAGTTTTGACTCAGATCTTCTGTAGATCGGGAATGATGCTGCTGGGGTGGGGTCGGTAATGGTGGGGGAGGTGTTTCGGACCAGGGAACGGATATTCCCGCCATGTTTTACCTGCAAATCAAAAAGAGGGGGGAAATTAAATATTGCCTTTTTTTTTTGAAGTATCACTTAACAACGCTAGTTTACAACGGTTTGCAACTAAAATAGATAACCGTTATTGTAAATAATTCATTTTTAAATAATATTATGAATAAAAATAGTTTTTATTTCAATGTTAATTTATTGAATGGCTTAAAAAAACAAAAGATTAGTATTTGACTAAGGACGACTAAATAAAAAATAAAAGCTTAGTATTTGACTTTGGAAACATATTCATGCCATGTTTCACAAGCAAGTCAAAGAAAACTAAAATTTAAACATTGTTTCTCTTTTAAAGTATTACTTTGCACCACTGGCTTACATGGATTTACAACTAAAATTAATGATCGTTATTGTAAATAATTCAATTTTAAATTCGATAATAAATTAAAATAGTTATTTTTATGTTAATTTAGTGAAGAGCTTAAAAAAATGAAAGCGTAGTTTTTGATTTTTGGAACAGATATTCCCACTATGTTTCACCAGCAAATGAAAAAATATAATTAAAAAAATATTGTTTTTCAGTTAGAGTATTATTTTACGCCACTGGCTAAGAATGATTTGCAACTAAAATTATTAATCGTTATTGCAAATAATTGAATTTTAAATGAGATAATAAATTAAAATAGTTGTTATTTCAATTTTATTTTATTTAATGGCCATAAAGACTTAAAGAAATAAAAATTTAGTGTTTGATTAAAAACGAGTAAAATAGTGAAAGCTTAATATTTGACTAAAAATGCTAAAAAAGAGTAATAAAAGTAAAATAGTGAAAATAAAATAAAGAAAGTTTGGTATTTGACTATGGGAATAGATATTCCCGCTCTGCTTCACCTGCAAATAAAAACAAAAAAATTAAACTTTTTTTTTCAAAAATTTAATATTAGTTTAAATGATTTACAACTAAAATAAATATTCATTATTGTAAATAATTCAATTTTAGATAATCGAATATATTAAAATTATTGTTATTTCAACGTTAATTTATTTTATAGCTTCTAAAAACATAAAAGCTCAAGTTTTTGGCTAATTAAATAATTTTTAATTGCAACTGTCTTTTTGAGCATATTTAGCCTAGCAAGATTTTTTTTACCCTTTTCCTTTTTTCTTAACCTATTAAAATTAATGAATCGAAATTGTGTTTTGAGGATTGCTAACTAGAGAGGAAGACCACACACGAAGATTCGAATGTAGATCCTATTTATAAGAATTAAAGTAGACCACATTTATATGCTGTAATATACATAACTACATTTATGGAAAATAATCGACCTTATTTATGAACAAATTATGAACACATTTACTATGTTACACATTATGATCACATTTATATGGATCCTATTTGTTTCAATAAATATGGAAAACATAGATAAATACTAATGCGGACTACATTTATGCGTATACATGTACATTATTAAACAATTCATGTTTAGCATTTTGATTTAAATTTATACACTTTTTAAGTATAAATACAAATATTAAAATTTTCTTATTTGTAATTGAATAAAAAAAATGCCATAGTTGAATAAAAAAATGCTTTGGAAATAAAAGATTGAATGAAATATTAAAACAAATACGCAACACACTAACAATTAAACATTAGATTCAATCTCCTTCTAAAAATCCTACCTCTTATTATTTAAAATATAAGTTTTTTATACAGTTTAAGAACGAAACAGAAAGATTTTAGTTCTAGATGTAGACAAGTGAGCATTTCTACGCTTTAGGGAGTAAACAAAAAAAGCAAACACGGGCACGAATGATTTCTGAAATGATTTGTATTGAATCAAAATCAAGAGCAAAATATTAACTTTTATCAATAGCAATAATTTTTTTAAAAAGTTTTATAATTTATTCAAATTTCGTTCATTGAGTTATGTATATGTGCAGATTCTTTAAGAACTTTCTGTCTAATTTTATCAGGTAGTTATATTTTTGTTTCATACTAAATTATTTTTACACTTTTTTTTACCCTTAACTTCTCATTAAAATACACTAAACGATTCTTTAAAACCTTTTGCAGTATTTTTATCATTCGTTGCGAGAAAAAAAAAACTTGGTTTGTCTAATTTTATCTGCTAGTTCTCTTGATTTTTGCTCGTATTAAATTATTTTTGGGAAATTTTTTACACTTAATTCTTTATTGAAATGCCCTTAGATATATGCTACAATAACTAGGGCTAAATATTTTATGCATTTATTGAAATGCCTTTAGATATATGCTACAATAACTAGGACTAAATACTTTATGCATTTATTGAAATGCCCTTAGATATATGCTACAATAACTAGGACTAAATATTTTATGCATTTATTGAAATGCCCTTAGATACATGCAACAATAACTAGAACTAAATATTTTATGCACTATCTAAATTCAAATCTTTCCTTTGAACTTCTAATATTTCCTAAAAATTCACAGTTTTGATACCATAGCAACGAAACTGAAAATCAAAAAGTAAATTATGACATATTTTTAGGAATTTTGAAGGTCATAATAGGTAAGTGCGAACTCTGTTCCATTGTTAACATACATTCAATTCCAGTTTGCATTAGCTTTGCTTTCCTTTCGAATGTTCGATAACGCATTTGACACATCATCCGATACGGAGTATTATCTATTGTCTCAATTTCAGCTCCCAATTTGTAAAGATAGGTCAATTTGCGTTAAACAGTGAAGTGGTCTATATTTGCTTAATCCCAAGATTTCACAATAACTATTTAATACAATGTGCTCAATGAAGTTCATATTTTTCCTTTCTTAAGGTGCTACATTTTTCTAATCCAATCTATATTGTGCACAAAAAAAATCTATATTTATTTGAAGCTCATCGAGATTTAGCCTTTTTTAGTAATGTATTTTGTAATCTTGATATTTAATCTCAATGTATATTCTATTTAATAAACATAGAATCGTTTAAAAAATATATGCTTTTTAGTATAAAATCTAAAATTGTATTTAATTTAGAAATATGGATAAAAAAAAAATTGGGTTTTTTTACACATTCCATAATCTATTAAATAAAGACGAATTCCATGGAAAGGGAAAATATCGGTTTACCGTAATATATACCGAAAAGCCACATTTACACATTTACCTTTTACCTGGATTTTTAAATTTAATACAATTTATAATATGTGCACTAAAAATTTTATTTTACCTTTCTATTAAGATTCCATATTTGTTAAGATCCCATGTTTGTATGTGTAAAAAAAAGCCGTCAATTTTTTCTTTTTTAAAGGAATTCATCTTTATTTAATATATTATGTAATGTGTACAAAAACCCAAATTTTTTTATCCACATTTCTGAATTGCATTCAATTTTAGATTGTATACCAAAAAACATAAGTTTTTTTTCACACGATTCTATGTTTATTTAATACAATATACAATGAGATAAAATGTCAAGATTTACCTATGCCTAAGATTCAACGTTATTAATTATAATACATAACGTTTGCAAAAAAGTTATGTTTTCTCTTTCTCAACATTTTATCGTTTATTTAATGTAAATAACTAGGACTAGCAATTTGGATTGTGAACAAGCACGGATATCTATATACGAATAAACGAATATCTATAATCAATATTTTACTTTTATTTAATACAATTTATATTATGTACGTTTTTTTAAAATGCTTAATGGAGAACACTAAAGGAATATTTTCAAAAAGTTATTGATTTTTATTATTATTATTGATTGCATATAAGGAATACTCGAGAGCATTTTGTGACATTGACAGCTATTTTTTTTCTTCAGAAAAACATCTTTAAGTTGAATTTTCATGTTAATTTACATTATTTACGTAAAATCATAAATAAAAAAATTAAATTAAAAATACTAAAGTGTAATTTGAAATTATTTTATCGAAATTTTTTTTAAGCATGGTGAAATTTAACCATTTTAAACGCTTGAATTTGTTTAAATGAAAATAAATTTAAAAAATAATATCAAATATTGAAGCATTTATTAATAAAATTTTCTTTATTTATTTTTTTCTCTTTTTGGATAAATGTAACGACCTTGAACCAGATATGAAGAATCAATTTTCCATTTTACGTAATTAATTTTACAGCGCAAGTGTTTGCAAATAACTTTTATAAATTTATGGAGTTAAAAAGAATGATAAAAATAAGTATCCAAGCACGCATCTGGGATAAGATTTTACAATCTTTAAAATTGTTTTTCTATAAAATTTGTGGGTTTAAAAAACTAATTGACGCAGCGACAAGTACATTGTCGGAAATTTCTCGGAAAAAAATGGTTAAATAATAATTTATTTAATTGTTATTTTACCATATTTAAACGAAACAGTCAAATAACCATAAATACTTTTATATTCAAATTGTTATCTGTGAGAAAAAAATCTTATTAACAACTTTTAAATAATACAGTTAAACAACCAGAATTTTATCGCACCATCTAGGCCCACCTAATGAGGCCACTTAATTCCTTGCAGTTGGTTACATGTTATAGCCCAGAGGGATAATCTATAACTGACAGATCGGTGGTGTGAGTCCGAGTGTAGACACCACACTGTTACCTTCATTCCCTTCAAACCATGAAGAGTTTCCAGCGCTATTAGAATACGATGCTCTCATTTGCGCATAGATGGCAGCACCCTAAAACTACTTAACGCGAAAAAATCTAGTATTACCCATTTCTAGACTATTTCATTTCTTACGATAATTGAAACAGCCAGATAAACAAATTAAACCACATTCCACTTTTATTTGAAGGGGGGAAAAATCGCAACTTAGCCTAATCCAATGTTCATTACCAAACAAAAATTCTATCTCCAATGACCAAATAAACTTTTTTACGGTTCGGAAACCATGATAGTTATAAATGGATTTTTTAGAAAAACATACAGTTTTTTTCACGTTTTCTTAACCCTTCTAGTTGTAAGCGATGTCAAAACCGTAAAGGTGAAAAATGTTCGTTACCGTAAACTTTACGGTTTATCTGATG